CTGAACATGATGCAGATATGTCTGTAGTCTGTTGAGTTTTCATTGTACGGTCATTTAATTGTTTAGAAGGGTCACATATTTATGTTAAAATAGTGCCTTGACATGCCGTCTGCAAAAAAACAAAAACCGAAAAAAAGCCCCTCACCTTTTTATATTTGTCTGCGAATATGTGTGAGGAATGCTTGTTTGTGAACATACAGAACACTGTATGAATACTTGACTTGAATTCAGTAAAGCCTTGAGCTCAAACCCTGTGTACCGAAGAATAAAGGATCACTTACAAACACAGATGGCATAATGGAGTATTTTTTTTTTAATCCTGATGTGGTCGCTGTAACATACTGTAACAATGGAGCATGTTTAAACATTTTAAATAATAATCAAGTATGAGAAAAACTATGAAAACTCAGTTTTGGCAGTTTATTGTTCCAAACATGCATTATGTTTTATTTTTCTTCCATTGACTAGTTTAGCATATCCTTATGCTATTTTTGAAAAAACGCAAAACACTAAATAGTTGTAAAATCCAGCACTGCATTTTACTGTTGCTGTGATACTGAAATGACACAAGAGGGCGATAAAGGACCATTGCAGGCATTAACCTACAAGATATAAATAAGGGTTACAGGAAGTCAAAGAGAGAGAATCAGTGTCACGGTTAGACCATAAAAATGTATATACATATTTGTATATGCACGAAAGACCAGACCAGTTACAAAGCATACACAAATGAATTTCCTTAGACTTTGTGTTGAACGAAACCCATGAAAGAGGTCCAGTGAGGTAATCTATCCGTGTTTTAACATCAGTCAGACGCCCCATTCTGTGGGTTTGTTGCGGTTGCAAATGCAGAAGTATCCAGAGCTGGAGAGACAGAGAAGCCCTTAAAAAGTCTTTTAGATTAAGAAATTCATCAGTCTTAATACTGCAAGTCCAGTCACTTTTTCCTGCGTACAACCGTCCAGCCATCATCCTCTTCCTCGTGACTGACAGCCTGAGGAGGAAGATGCTGCTCCTTCACTGCTGCACCGTTGACTGAAGCTCCGTCTGCCCCTCCATCACACTCCATAGCCTGAGAAAAACAACCAGAGAGAATTCATAAAGGGGACATTTGCATCTAATACTGCATGATATAGTTCATAAATAACGTCAACCAGTACCAAACATTTTGTACCATTACTTAATAAGCATGAAAAAAAAGTAAATATATTTAAATTTTTATGTATTATTGATTTATATATTACACATGAATATGTTTAAAAAATATTTTTTAATTGTTCACACACACACACATAAATAATTATGTGTGTATATATTGTATATATTATAATCGTATATTATTGTATATTATATAGAAATGTTAACATCCATCACATCTCTATCTAAACACACACATATATATACACAAATATATCTAAATATACATGTATATATTTATATATGTAAATATATTTAAAATATAAAAATCACAAATATATAAATATAAAAATAGGTTTAAATTAAATAAGTTTTTTAATACG